CTTTGACCGGAGGAGCGCGCGGACGCGCTTCGCGCGGACGCCCGCCGCGGCGCAGCACGCGAGGGGCGCGTCGCCGTGCTTGTCCTTGGCGTCGGCGCGCGCGCCGGCCTTCAGCAGCAGGCGCACGACGGCGACGTGGCGGCCGACGACGGCCAAGTGCAGCGGCGTCCACCCGTCGAGCGACTCCTTCGCGTCGAGCGGGCCGGCGGGCCGCTCGTCGTCGCCGCCGCCGTCGTCGTCGCGCGTCGCCCGGCGCACGGCGTCCAGGATGATGCGCACGTGCTCGTCCTTGCCCGCGGCGGCGGCGTAGTGGAGCCAGCCCCAGTCGTGGAGGCCCTCGACGTCGTCGACGCCGCGGTCCGCGATGGCGTCCTCGAGATCCGCGGGCCGCGCGCGCGTCGCGAGCCAGCCGAGGCTCTTCCGCAGCGCGTCCTCGGCGTCGCGGTCCCCGCGGAAGTCGTCGACGGCGTCGAGGCCCCGCGCGCTCTCGACGATGCGCGGCGGCGGCGGCTTCGCGGGCTTTGGCTTCCGGCGCGGCGGCGGCGCGGCGTCCGTCGCGGGCCCGCGGCGCACGCGGGCCTTGGCCACGCCCTCCTTGCGGCCGTAGAGCTCCCCGAAGTCGAGGTCATAGGTCGCGCCGCTCTCCGACACGTGCAGCACCGTCGCGGCGCGCCACTTGCCGCCCTCGCGCCGCTGCGCCTCGACGGACGCGCCCTCGCGGAACGACGCGTCGGACGCGCTGCTCGACGACGACGCGTCGTCGTCGCTGTAGGAGTCGTGAGAAGGAGGCATCGTTGACGGCGTTATTACGTTATGCGCACCTTCCCCAGATGTTTCCCGGCAACAATAAAGGGGGCAGCCCGGCCTCGCAATATGGGGGCGTGACGAGATCGATCGCTTCCTCGATCGATCGCTTCCTCGATCGATCGCTTCCTCGTCGCGCGCCCATGCGCGTCGGCGTCCTGGTCCTCGCCGCCGCGGCGGCGGCGCGGCAACCGAGAAAACCGCTCGAGCCGCCGTCGGACGCGTCGTCGGCGGATCTCTGCCCGCCGTGCTTCGAGCTCGCGCGCATGCCCGCGCACGGCAACCGGTCCATGCAGGCCCTGCGCTGGCTCCACCTCCCGAAGAGCGGCTCGACGTTCCAGAACTCGGTCTTCCACTGGGCCTGCCCGAAGATGCCGGAGCGCGCGGGCTACGGGCCGCGCGCGACGCCGTTCAAGCTCAAGAGCCTCTACACGAAGGACCGGCGCCTGAACCGGACTTTGTGCGACCGCGACGTCGACATGACGATCCCCGGCCACCCGCCGGCGGAGGAGCGGGCGCTGCCGCGCACCGTGGCCATGTTCCGCCAGCCGCGGCAGCGCGTCATCTCCGCGTACCGCAACGGCAAGCACTGCGACGGCTTCCAGGAAATCGACAAGGACCCCAACTGGAAGCATTTGACCGTCGCCGAGTACGCGCGGCACGCGGGTGCGCCGCGGCGTCTCGTTGTTCGAGCACGTTTTGGCCTGTAAACGTCGTCGTTTCGAGAAGACGTCGGCCGGGAACACGACCGAACGTTCTCGCGCGGCAGGCATCCCCGGCTGCACGACGCGCATGCTCCTCGGCGGCAAGTGCGCGCGCGCGCGCCACGTGACGCGCGACTTCGACGCCGCCAAGGCCGTCGCGAACGTCCGGCGCCTCGCGTTCGTGGGCATCCTCGAGCGATGGCGCGAGAGCATCTGTACGTCGTTTTTTCCCCCGGAACTGCCGACGCTTCTTCCGCCTAGGCCTCTTCCACAAGATGCACGGCGGGCGGCCGTCGGCCGTCGAGTTCGGCATCACGCACTCCACGCGCGGCGACCTCGCGAAGAAGGCGGGCCTCCACGAGGCGCCGAAGCCCTACGACGAGAGCGTCCTCGAGGGCGTCGAGGACCCGGACGAGGACGCGGTCTACGCGGCCGCGCTCGACGTCTTCGACCGCCAGCTCCGGCGCCACGCGCCGAACTGCCCCCGGCGCTAACGTGCCGGTTAGAACGTGTACTTCCCCCCGGGCTTGTCGACGCGGATGACCTTGAGGTTGATGAGCAGCGTCTTGTCGAGCTGGTCGCCCTTGGACGTCAGGACGAAGTCGAGCGCGCGGCTCCCGGAGAAGCTCGACGGCTTCGGGCCGACCTTGTCGTGCCCCGGGTCCGCCATCTTCCCCTCGCGCTCGTCGCCGACCATGGGGTAGCCGATCTCCGGCGGGAAGACGAGTTGGCGCACGCCGCCCTCCCGCATGCCGAGGACGCCCTCCTCGACGGCGGGGATGACCTCGCCGCGCCCGACGACGAAGCGCGCGTAGTCGCGCTCGCCGCTGAAGTCGCCGCCCTGCGCGCCCTGCTTCATCTCGAAGGGGCGGCCGAAGTAGCCGATGGTGTAGCCCTCCCATTCGTAGACGACGCGGTCGCCCTTTTGCGCGGCCGCGCCCGCGCCGATCTTCGCGTCCTGACCTGGAGCCCGCTGGGGAGCACCTCGTAGCCGGGCTGCTTGCTGACGAAGTCCGGCGGGCGGACGGCGAGCGCCGGCGACGCGGCGACCAGCGCGGCCGGGAGGAGCCGCGCGAGGGCGCGCCGGGTCGAGGCGGCGGACGGCGTCGTTCTGGTGTGTTGAGGTGTCGCCGCGGTGCGCGTAGGAGCCGTGCGCAGCGCCGCGGTCGTCGCGGCGAGCGCGACCAGGAGCACGGCTGTCCTAGATGAGCTTGAAGCGCTGACCATCGTCGCTCCGGCTCGAGACTGCATCGACATCTTCAAGGTAGCCGTTGACCAAGTTATTGAAGGGGGTGCGCGCCCGACTGCGTCCGCCCGGGGAGGGGAGGCAGGTCCGCGGAGGGACCCCCGCGGAGGGAACCAGACCGAGCAGGCGCGGGGCGGCAGCTCCTGCGTGAACTCCAAGGTTGACTCAAGGTCGGTCTCTCCGTGGACCGGGGGAAGCTGAGAACGACCACCACCACCGTGCACGGGGACAGGAACTCCGGGTGGACCAGCCCGATTCACCTCAGGACCACGAATGGCTAGCCGAGGGCGCACGCCGAAGAGGACGCCCGCCGGCCAGCGGGCGGGAAAGGAGCAAAAAGAAGCGTCGAGGTTGAAGAACCGCGGCCCGCGGCCGCGCCGATGTAGAAGAGGAGGACGCCGCTGAGGAAGAGGGGAATATGAACAAAATCAGGTCGAGCGCCGCGGAGGAAGCGCCGCAATCTCGCTGGCGTGGGCGACGAAGAACTCGCCGAACGTCGACGCGAAGGCGCGAGCAAGATCGTCGCGCAGCTCCGCAAGGCCGCCGCGCGGGAGCGGCGGGGCGCCCGACGCGGCCAGGAAGGCGGCGAAGCCGACGTCGGAGCACGCCGAGAGCGCCGGCGCCCGAGCGCCGCGCCACCAGCGCGCCGCCGCCTCGCGGCCCTGGCGGCCGGGCGTCCTCGACGCTCGCGAACCACGCGCGCCGGGGAGCATCCAGGTCAAGCCGCGCCATGCGCGACGCCGGGCACTCGAGGCAGACGTGGGCCATGTCCGCGGCCGTCCCGCGGACGTAGAGCCCGCAGAGGTCGCAGTAGCCCGGCCGCCCGCGGCCCCGGGCCGCCCACCGGACGAGCCGCGTCTGCGGCGCGAGGCGGCACGTCCCGCCCAAGATGGCGACGAGCGCGGTCTCCCGCCGGTCGCCCGACGCGCGCTGCTCCAGGATCCAGGTCCGCCGCCACTCGCGGCTCGGACGGACGGCGCGGAAGAGCGCGAGGTCGCTGACGCCCGCGGCCTGCCGCTCCGCGTACTCGCGGGCGGCGCGACCGACCGCGGCGCGCCACTGGCCGCGGTCGTCGCCCGCGCTCGGCGGCTGGAGCCCGAGGGTCCGGCACGCGTCGCGCGCGGCCGCGACGCAGGAAAACGCGGCCGCCGCAGGCGCCGCCTGAACCGCGGCGTCGACGGCCCGCCGGAACGGGCAGCGCGCGGCCGCGGCCGCGTGGTCCAGCGCTGACCGTGCCCGGAGCCGGAGAAGGCGCACGTCGGCGGTGACCTCGCCGAGCAGCGTCGCCATCGCGACGTGCGACACCCCGGTCGACGCGGCTCCGAGCGCGAAGCGGAACGCCTCGGTCTCGGCCTGGCGGACGGCGTTGTCCGCCGCCACCGAGACCTTGCCCCAAGCCGCTGCCGACCACGCGACGACGCTCCGCGCGTAGCTCACGTGGGCGGTGAGCAGGTGCGCGCGCTTCATCGAGCCGACCGTCGCGAGCGCGCCCGTCGCCGACGCGACCTGGCGCCGCATCTCCGTGGCGGCCGCCTGGACGTGCTTGGACCACGAGCCGTCGCGCGCGAGCACCACGCCTAGGTAGCGGCCCTCCGTGCCAATCGGGATGATGACGGTCAGGTCCGGCGGCGCCGCCGGCGAGACGCGTCCGGTGAGCCGAAACTCCTCGCGCGCCGGCGAGTGCACGAAGGGGGGTCCTCAGAGTCGACC